GAATAGGCTACTTTTTCCTTAAAAGGTACTGAAACTTATACTTTAGACTTGACATGGGGAATTAAGGCTTGAACCATTAATATAGATTTCTGGCCACTTAAGTACAAAAGCCAGGATTTGAAAAGTCAGGAGCCTTTCCCTCAGGCTTCTGACCAGTGGACCAATATAGCCAATGCAGAGGAAAGGATCTATGCCCAAATGAATGAATACCATATTTTGCTTGAATTTCCTTTCCATGTTTTGGCTAAGTAAATTTTGTTGTGTTATTAACTCTTAGGTGGTCTGTAAGTGCCTTATTTTGTTCCAATACCAAACCGGAACCACCTTATATGCAATGTTTTGCATGTATTACTGACATACGATTTTTGATATGCATTTTAGTATGCAATGATAGGCAGCTAGGCAGCATGGTAGATAGCGCACTGAGCAGGAAGACCTGAGTTCATATCCAGTCTCAGAAACTTATTAGGTGTGTGCATCCTCAATTTCCTTATCTGTAAAACTGGATAATAATAGTACCTACCTCTCAGGGTTATTATGAGGATCAAAGGGATATCTGTAAAGAATTTTGCAAACCTTAAATGCTATTTGTACTTTTTTGTTTGTATGTAGGTATTTGCATGTTATCTCCCCCATTAGATTGTGAGCTCCTCGAGGGTACGAACTCTCTTTTGCCCTTCTTTATATCCCTAAAGCTTAGTATGGTGCCTGAAAAATAATAAGCTCTTAATAAATGTTAACTGATTCACTGATATGTATGTACTATTTCTAGACATCCATTTGCTATATTTCTGCATGTATCCTGGATATTCATGTATTCAGTTCTGTTATACCTGCTACGTCATGTAATTGTATGACATTGGTATTTTGGTTTTACATACATACAAGGTCAATAAGCATCTATTTTTTTTAATAAGCATCTACTAAGTCTTGGCTGTGTGCCAGGAACTGCAAACAACTATGTACAAACAATATAATAGACAGAGGACAGACAAAGCTATCACGTCCTGTGTGTGTTCTGGGGCCAAAAGCCACTCAAGGGAATGAGATCTCTGTGCTGGTGGCACCTGCCATCTGCTTCCTAACTTCTTTCTAAAAAACTTGTTATCTGTCTCTGGAGGGGGAGAAAAGTGAGTGGGGAGTGCCCAGAGCACACAAAGAGGTACATACCATGAATGGCTCTGGCCAGAAGTCATGGTACCATCAAAGTGAGATGACTAGAGGCTGGTACAATCCTAGAGCACAGAAGGAAGCACCCATGACCCTAAAAGAGAAAAGACCCAGTGTTGCTGAGACACAGACTACCATGAATTCTGTGGGTTGCTGAGCAGCAGAGCTGATATCAGTTACTGTCTTCACTATTTTTTTTTCTTATTTATAATTCATGGTCCTGAGACAAGGGTAGGTTTTTTCCTCCCCTATTCCATTCTCACAGGTGAATATGGCCTGGCTGTCTCCAAACATCTTGGAGGGCAACCAGAAGGATGTCTAGGAGATGACTGGAAGTAGATACCTTTATACAGTAGCGTTTGTTCTATTTTCCTTTTCCCTTCATTTTATGTACATAAACCACATAATGATCACAGCATTCTAAGTTTTTGAATCTTTGAATGAAATGCATGGTGAACTGAGAGAAGAGAACCTAGACGGTAGGGGGTGGTCATAAGCTAGGTAAAGTCACGTCAATTAGTCAACAAGGATTTCTTAAGCACTTGCTCTGTGCCAGGCACTGCGAACTAAAGCAATGGGGATAGGAAGAAAAGCAAAAGCATGTCCTGCTCTCAAGGAGCTCCCATTCTAATGGAAAGACAATATTCAAATAACTCCACCCAGAGAAATGTTCATACACTATAAATGGAAGGTAGTAATCTCAGAGGGAGAGAACTAGCATGGAGGGATCTGGGACAGCAACAGACTGGTGAAAGGTTCTTGCAGAAGAAGGGATCTGAACTGAGTCCTTAAAGAAGTCAGGGAAGCCAGGAGGTGGAGGAGAAGAGGGAGAGAATTCCAAACATGGGAGATGGTGCAAATGCACAGATCCAGGAAATGGTAATGTTATGTGTGTAACAGCAAGTAGGCCAATGTAGCTAGATCATAGAGTGCATGGAATGCAGTAAAGTAACAAGATGAATAGAGGTAGGAAGGGGTGAGGCTGTAGAGGGCTTAATATGCCAAGTGGAGCATTTTCTATGTGATCCTGGAGGTAGGTAATAAGGGGCCACTAGGAGCAGTGGCTCTCAAACTTTTTGATTTCAGGACCCCTTTGTACTCTTAAAAATACTGAGGATACCCCAAAGAGCTTTTGATTATATAAGTGTGCTGAAGTCAGCTCAAACTGACGTATAAGATCTGACTGTTAAATTTCCAATGTGAGCTTTTATACCTCGGAAATTGGCAAATGCTACAAATCAGGATTTACTTTGTTTCACTGATTGTGTAGACTTGAGAATATGATGGAGAAAATGTTGATAATGCAGATTAAACTTAAAAGCATGTCCTAGATTTGAAGGGTTGGTTGTTGAACATTTATCAGCATACCCTTGGTTATATTTATCAATACTTAACATGTTAGAAATTAAAACATCTCAGTATTATTATGAAAATAGTTTTAACCTTGAGGACTTCCTAAGACGATGCTGGGAACCCTCAGGGATCCCTGGACCATGCTTAGAGAGCTGCTGTACTAGAGTATATTGAGCTGAGGGGGAGCTGCTTTAGGAAGATCACTCTGGCGGCTTAGTGAGGTGGAGAAGAGAGACTTGGGGCAGGGAGACCAAGTAGGTTATTGAAATAGTCCAGGCGAGAGATGCTGTATAAAAGTGGTGGCTCTGTGAGTGGAGAGAAGTGTATGTACATAACAGATGCTGTGAAGATAAAATGATACAATTTAACAACAGTTTGGATATGGTTGATGACAAGTGAAAAGTTGAGGATGACACCAAGATTCCTCATTGGGAAGAGGGGAAAGATAAGATACTCTGTTACAGACATAACAAATTTCAGATGCCTATGGGACATCCAATTCGAGATGTTCAAGACGCAGTTGGTGATACTGGAACTCAGGAGAGAGACCATGGCTGGATATGGAGGTCTGGGAATCATGTGCACGGAAGTGATGAGACCATCAAAGGAAATGGTTTAGGAGGAGAGAAGGTCTAGGACCAAGCTTTGAGGAACACTCGCAGCAAAAGAGACTGAGGAATAGTCAGGCAGGTAGTAGACCAGAAGAGAGCAAGGTCACAAAAAACCTACAGAGGAGAGTATCCAGGAGAAGAGAGTGATCAACAGTGTCATCAAAGGCTGCAGAGAGTCAACAAGGATGAGGATTGACAAAAGGCCATTGGATTTGGCAATTAAGAGATCACAGACTTTGATGAGAGCAGTTTTAGCTGAATGAGGTTGGAAGCCACAATGAAGGACAGGAAGTAGAGGCACTGTAAGCATAGACGACTTTCTCAAGGAGTTTAGCACAGAACCTGACAGGGAGGGTAGGATCACATGAGGGTTTTTTAAGGATGGGTGAAATATAAATGTGCAGGTATGTTAGTAGGCAGTAGGTAAAGAGTCAGTAGATAAAGGTAAATTAAAGAGTAGAGGGGGAATGGGGTAATCTGTTGGAGAAAACAGGAAGTGACAGGATCATGGATGTATGGAGGGAGGTTTACTCTGGTTAGAAGGAGGGTAACGTGACACAAGGGTGAAGAAGGAGATAGTAGGTGGAAGATGTCTGAGTGATATGACAAGAGGAGGAGATAAGAGGAAACTCTCAATGGCCTCAATTTTGTGAAGTATGAAGATTCTCAGCTGGCAGGGTACGAGGAAGGGCTACTATAGCAGGTTTGAGGAGGGAGGAAAAAGTTTGGAATAGCTTCTGTGTTGAATGGGAAGGCATAAAAGCATTGTCTTACTACATGAGGGCCTAGCTGAGATTATGTAGCATAAATTTGTAGTGGACCTCATCAATACAGTTCTGTGATATTCTCTAGCTCCTTTCAGCAGCACATTAATAGCAATGAAGGAGGTAAATGATGGCAGCAATCCAAAGTCAGGATTTAGCAACACATGATCTGCAACAGGACAAAGGGGCAAGGGATTCAAATGCAAAGAGCAGTGTAGAGCTGAATTGCTTTATCATGAGATGTAGATGGAGAAGGGAAGAGAGTATAGTCAATGTAGGGTGGGTGGCTTGAGAAAGAAATGAGAGATGAAAGGAGTAGAGGTCACAGTGAGGATGAAGAATACAGTTAGGGAATTTCATGTTTTAATATCTTGGGCAACATCCCAATCGTTACCTAGATTAATTCTAAATTCGACCAGTGAATATCAATCCAAGCTGCTTCGTGTCACAAGGCAACTGCTTTGTAGGTTTAGTGGTCCAGCAGGAACCTAAGTAGTTACAGGCTAAGCATTCCCTGGTGGCCAGCAGGATTATTGATAATTCTCCTGGGAAAGCTATCCTCCCATATGCCAAAGAGAAACTGACAAAGCTGAACTGGTGATTTGGATATAGGCATGCTATCTTTCTATAAGTTTAAGGAAGACAGCCCTCAAGTCAAATAATCAAAAAGGCCCAGTTTGGGTGGTAGAGGCAGTGTTACAAATGTACTTTACTTTGATGCATGTACTTTGATTATATTAGACTATTATCATTTTACTTCTGCTTATATCTAAGACCACAGGCATGCTAATAAAGAGGTCACTTTAAATATGCCTCAGTAGTTTGCTGATTCTTCTGAAGACATGAAATGTTTACTTCAATGTCATACAACAGTCTGTACCACTTTAAAGTATACTAGTCTAGAAAGTGCTACCCTTTGAAGGAATGCAAATCCTTCTAGTTCCCGGAACTAAAATAAATCCATTAAATTTTAGGGATTAAAAGAGTTAGTCTGCTCATACTCTACCCTCTAAGGAAGAGGCCCCCTGTCAAATCACAAAGCAAAGCATATGGAGATACTCAGTGGTGATTTAAAAAAAAATCAAGTTTATTTACATATTAACATATAGAATTTGAAGTAAGAAAAGATTGAGGGTAACTAGATGAGATCAGAATGACTCAGGAGAAATCACAGTAGGAGGAGAAGAGAAAGAAAGCCCTGAAAGTAAGGGAGAAAAAAATCAGAAGTACTCTGATGACCACAACTTCTATGACAAAAATCTATATACGGAATATGGTTGCTCCTATTTTTGAACCTAGACTCCTCTCTCTCCGAATTCTGCTCTCCTCTCAGAATCCAGGTGTCCTATCTCCTGGTCAGCTCTTCTCATTACTAGTTTTCCATCCTCTTCCCAGAACCCAGGAGTCCCATTTCTCAGCACATGCTAAGGAAAAAAACCAGATCTACCTGGTGGTGCTTGGTATCTTCACCTGATGAGATATTATTCTTTTTTTTTGCGGCATTTGGAGATTTTGACATGCTTTGCTCGCCATGTAGACCTTCTCCTTTCCCAACAGGAAGGTTCTGCCTTTTCTGGAGAGGAGAGTTCTGAACTTTCTTGCAAAAAGGAGGGTCCTGGTCTTTCTCTTAAGGAAGGCCCTGGATTTTCTTCCTGGGAACTATTTTGCCCAGTCTCTCTGTAAAAATGCCTTCTGGGACTTATGGTTTTACTGCAACCAGGGATTTCACCTAAGATTTTAAATATACAGCCTATGTTAACAGAGATGTGTGTAATGAAAGCCCAATTTTTGTAGTCTCCAAAGTGCTGGTCAACGAATTCCCAGGTAGCCACTGAGGAGTTCCAAAACAAACTCTAAGTTCCTAAACTGAACTCTAAGTCCCCTGGTCTCATTACTAGGCCTTGTTTCCTTCCCAGTAAACAACAGTCTTTCCTCCTATTTGTTTTTTTTTCTTTGTTCAGACTAAAATTTATCCCAGTCCCAGAATAAAAGAATTCCGATGTTCAGTCATACCTGTTGATATACACTCTGCACATTCCCACTTCTTAGAGTTGCTCCTAAGAGAGGAACAACTTCTGTGGGTTCCTTGGGATCCACAAGTAGTACACAAAATGAGGCCCCACCTCCTATAAGGAGAACCAAAAAGTGGTACCCAGTCCTAAGACTGGATTGGAAAGAAAATGTATTAGGCTACTAATCTCACCAATGAATAAAAAGTATAATAGCACTATAAGGTAAAGGGACTTGTCAAAAGACAGTAAAGTGAGTGCCAGTGATTGAAGTGGGAATGAAACCTAAAAAGCCTGTTCTCTAATGGACTGTGAACATTCTGAGAGAGGCTGTAAAGCTTAGGGAATGAGTTGAATCCTATACCTCTGGATATTGGTGTTGAGATAAACTTCAAAAAATGGGAATACAAGGACTCAACCAGCCATAAAGTAGCTTTATACATACCCTTCATTCTCAAAGTTGTCTCTCCCATCTTTATAAAGGCAAATTGGAGCATCACAATGTTGATGGCGTTGGTATAATTCTGAGAAAGCTCCTGGCTCAAGTTCCCAGGCAGCATCTCTGCAGAAAGAGAAGAAGTTGTGAACAAGGGACACCTGATACACAATCAAAGGTTTGCACTCTCTGGCCACTTGGCCAGAAGCCAGGAGCTGAAGTGAGGCAAGGTGCTATATACACAGCAAACAATACAATTCAACAAATATTTATTGAGTGCCTACCATGTATTAGGCACTATGCTAGGCAGGGGGGACACAAAGACAAGAATGAATATAGTCCTTAACCTCTAGGACCTTACATTCTAACTTGGGAGAAATAACATGTACACAAATAAATATAAAATACATCCAAAGTAAATTCCTGAGAAGAGGAAAGGCCTCCCATTGGAAGTAGAAATTCAGTTGAGTTTTGCATAGAGCTAGAGATTCTAAGAGGCAGAGAAGTAAGTAAGGAGATGCGACATTCTAGGCACAAGGAATAGCCAGTGCAAAGGCGTGGAGGTAGGAGATAGGAAAAGAAGTAGGATAGGGAACAGCCAGTAGGCCAGTGTGGCAGGAAGATAACATGTTTAAGGGGCAGTAATGTGAGTCTGGAGGGAGAGGGTAGAGCCAAATTGTAAATGGGTTTAAATGTAAAATAGAAGTTTGCATTGGAGGTAATAAGTTTGCACTGTAAAGGTACAGTAAAGAAGTTTGCACTGGAGGTAATAAGGAGACACCAAAGCTCTTTGAGTAGGGGAGTGTCACAGACAGATCTGTGCTTTAGAACTATCAATTTGTCAATTGTTTGGATGATGGACTGGAAAAGACAGGCTGGAGGTTCAGCAACCAATCAAAAAGCAATTGCAGGAGTCCAAGGGAGAAGTGATAAGGGCCTGAATTAGGGTGGTGTGAATTCCAGAGATTTTGTGGAGGAAGATTCAACAAGACTTGGCAACTGATTGTTTGTGATAGGGTGAGAGGGACTGAAGAATTAAGGATGATTCCTAGGTTGTGAACCAGGATGATTCAAAGAATGTTAGCATTCTGGACAAGAACGGAGAAGGAAGTGGGATAAGATAAGGCGAAAAGGTAAAGAATTCTGTTTGTGCATATTGAGTTTGAAAGGCCTACACGTCATCCACATTGAGATGCTGGCTTTGGTGATATGGGACTGGAGCTCAGGAGAGAAATGAGGAATGGGTTTGTCAATTTAGGAGTCATCTTCATAGAGATGAAAAGTGAATCTATAGAAGCTCATGGGATCCAATAAGAGAAACAATGTAGGAAGAGAGGGAGGGGACAGAAGAGGAGAACCTTGGGATGCAGCCACACATAGGGGGTGTGACATGGATGATGTTTCATGGATGATCCAGCAAAGGAGACTGAAAAGGATCAGACAGGTGGGAAAAGAGCTGGGAGAGAGCTTATTAAATGCTTGCTGAAAAAAAAAAGGTACAATTCTTGTGAGAGAGGCTGGGAGAAGGACAGAATTTGTACCAATAACCCCTAGAAGTGGAAATAGAGGGTCTATCCCATTCATCCTGATCAGTATCACCCCAGAATCTAAGAAACCCAATAATCCTAAATCACCATGCAAATAATTTCAAAATAGTTGCGCCCTCACTTTAATCAGAGCTCTCTCAATGCAGTATATATGCCTATACTACCTCCTAATTTCTTACACTACCCTCTAGAAAAACTGAGACCTCTACTCCTGTACTAGGTATCTGTCTAAAGAGTTCCTGTTACCTGTCTGGGATATGTATTCCCATTCTTAACATTTCTTTAGGAAATTCCTCTCGATTATTACACTGAGGACATTTGAAGAAATGCTTTGCTGATGAATGAGCATATTTCTGTAAAAGAAACAGGGGTAAAGACACATGAACACCTTTCATACATATACATACCCTAGAACCACCGCCTGAGAACAATGATAGAGAGCCTACTGGAAGACCTAGTCTAGGGACTTGGTGAAGCTGGTCACAAATGGGGAGGATCTTAGCTATGATCTACTCCTAAGAGAATTTGGGTGGAGTGAAGTGTATATGCTAGAAGTCCAACTCTCTGACCTAGAAACAAGGATGCCCAAGTAATGCCCTAGCTAATATCAGCTTTCATCCCTAATCCTGGAGGCCTGTGCAGTTGTGGTCCTTACTGGGACTAACAACCTGTACAGATACTATAGTTCCTGTCCTTTTTTATCTCTGGAGGCTGAGCTGGTTCTGGAACTATCCTGTGGATCTATCTGTTTGGTTAAGCATTTCTCTTAAATTTTTGGCATGGTCCTGGAAACAGTTCAGCTATGTGCAAGTCTTAGAGACCAAGGTCTGAAGTTCCTAAGACTTCTCCCTGGCCTGACCAGACTCCTATTTACACTGCTAGGTCTGGGCCAAAACCACACAGGCCTCCAGAGTTGGGGAGAAGGCTGATGTTTACCTGGGCATTCACTTGGATGCTTTTGCTTCCAGGTCAGACAGTGGTACAGGCCTCAGGGGGAGCCTGAGACAGGTAAACCTCCCCACCTGTATGCACTTTCGGTGGTATATCATACGACTACAGCATGGACTCTGAATGTTATCATCATTTCCTCCAGATAAGCTTTCACAACACAAGATGCAGTCCTCCTCTGCCCGTTTCTCTGGTTGAATGTCCTGTGTTGGGCGATGTTTTTCACAAAACGATCTGTAACAGAGGAACCAAACTAGGTTTCTAACAATAAGAGTATGGGACAGGGCTATGCTAGGTGTTTCTAAGAATACTCTATAAAGTCTTAAATTTTTTTTTTGTTTTAGTTTTATGTGTCTCACTTTTTTTTTTTTAGGCAATTGGGGTTAAGTGACTTGCCCAGAGTCACACAGCTAGTAAGTGTCAAGTGTTTGGTCTGAAGCCGATTTGAAATCAGGTCCTCCTGACTTCAGGGCCAGTGCTCTATCTACTGCGCCACCTAGCTGCCCCGTCTCACTTTTTAAGTTTGTATTTTTTAAAGTAAAATTTGGTAAATTTTTAAGTTGAGCAAAACCAATTCCTGCATGGGTCGTGTCAAACAAACAAAAACAAATGTCTCCCTCTGTGTACTAAGTCCATCAGCTCTCTGTCTGGAGGTGGGTAGTAAGTTTTAACTCTAGTCCTCTGGAATTGCAGTTGGTCATTGTGTTGCTCAGAATTCTCAAGTCTTTCAACGTGGTTTGTCTTTACAATATTGTTATTGTTAAATTGTTCTCCTGGTTCTGTTCATTTCACTCTGTATCAATTCATGCAAGCCTTCTGAAGTTTATCTAAAACTATCTCCTTCATAATTTCTTATAGCACAACAGTACTCCATCACATTCATATACCATAACTTGTTCAGCCATTCCCCACTGACAGGGGCCCCTTCAGTTTTTAACTCCTTTCTACCAAAAAAAGAACGGCTATGAATATTTTTGTACATGTGGGTCCTTTTCTTCTTTTTAAAAATTTCTTCAGGATATAGGCTTATTAGTGGTATTCTTGAGACAAACAGTATGCACAGTTTAATAGTTTTTTGGACATAGATCCAAATTGCTTTCTGAATGACTAGACCAATTCATAGCCCCTCCAGCATTTGTCATTATCCTTTTTTGTCAACTTTGCCATTCTGATGGGTATCTTAAATCTGTATTTCTCTAATTAGATTTAGTGATTTAGAGCATTTTTTCACATAGCTACTGATAGCTTGTAGTTCTCTGAAAACTGCTTATTCATATCCTTTGACCTTTTATTATTTGGAGAATGACTCATTCATATAAATTTAATTCAGTTCCTTACATATCTTAGAAATGAGATCTTTATGAGAGAAATTTGCTGCAAGGATTTTTTCCCCATTTAATTGCTTTTAAATTTTAAATTTAAAAAAAAATTTTAATTTGACTGAATTTGTTTTGCTTGTGCAAAAAACTCTTAAAATTTTATGCAATCAGAGTTGTCCATTTTACCTTCTGTCATGTTCTCTATCTCCTTTTTGATTGTGAACTCTTCCACATTCATAGATCCGACAGGTAATTTTTTCCTTGCTCCTCTAATTTGTTTATAATATTAACCTTTATTCTAAGGCATGTACACAATGGAGCTTATCTTGGTACACAGTGCAAGAAGTTGGTCTACACTTAAGTTTCTGACAGACTGCTTTCTAGTTTTCCCAACAGTTTTTGTCAAATAGTGAATGTTTGCCCCAGTACCTGGGATCTTTGGGTTTATCAGACACTTGGCTACTATGTTTGTTTGCTTATGTATATTATATACCTAATTTGTTCCAATGATCAACCTCTCTTTTTAAATCCGTATCAAACTGTTTTGACAATTATGGCTATGTTAGTATAGTATGAGATCTGATATTCTTAGGTGCCCTTCTTTCCCATTTTATTTCATTAATCCCCTTGAGAGTCTTGACTTTTTTATTCTTTCAGATAAACATTTCTAGTTCTATAAAGCAATCCTTTCATAGTTTGATTGGTATGGCACTGAATAATTAAATTAATATTGTCATTTTTATTACAGTTACTCAGCCTACTCGTGAGCAATTAATATTTCTCTAATTACTTAGATATGTCTTTATTTGCATAATCAGTGCTTTGTAATTGTGCTCATATAGTTCCTGTGTGGGTCTGGGAAAGCAGATGGAATTTCTCTTTCTTTTTTTTCCTGCTAGGTTTTATTGGTAACAGGCAGAAATACTGATGATTCATGTGGATTTATTCTACATTCTGTAACTTTGCTAAAGTTGTTTCAATTAGTTTTGAACTTGGCTCTCTAAGGTTCTCTAAGTAAACCATCATATATCATCACCAAAAAGCAGTAATTTTGTTTCCTCCTTGTCTATGTTTATTCTCTCAATTAGTTATTTTTTAAAGATTATTTAAATTTTAGTTTCTTTAATTTGGTGAATAAAAATAATGTCTTCTATGATTTATTCAATAACTATTTCCCTTAAACAAATAAAATTCCCTGAGTACACATCCTAATAAAATATGTTCTACATACCTATTTTGCTCACATACAATTGGCAATGTTTCCCATAGATTGCACCTTAAAAGGAGTAACACATAGTTCAAATATGACCTACGGTAGATTGCTAAAAATGGTTAAAAATGGCGTGGTCACTGAAAGTAAAAGGTTATACTCCTATATCAGATTACTTGCTGTCTTGGGGAGGAGGGAGAAAAATCTGGAACTCAAAATTTTATGAAAATCAATGTTGAAAACTATCTTTACATGTAATTGGAAAAAATAAAATACTATCAAGGAAAATTTTTAAAAAATGTTTATACTGTAAAAAAAATTAGGAAAGCACAGCTTTTGTAGGAGGAGGGATAAATTAACTGAACAAAGCCTTTCAATCACAAAATTAAAAAGCTTTTGCACAAATAATAATAATAGTAATAATAATAATAACAGCTAGCATTTACATAGTGCTTTAAGTTTTACAAAGCACTTTTTAAATACTATTTTATCTTCACAACAACCTGGGAGATAGGTGCTATTATTCCTATTTTATAGATGAAGAAACTGAGGTGGGCAGAGATTAAGTGACTTGCTCAGGGTCACACAGCCAGTTAAATGTCTAAGGCTATATCTGGACTCAGAAGTCTTCTTGATTCCACTCCCTTCCCCCACAACTGCCTTGGGCAAAATCAATGTAGCTAAGTTAAGAAAGGAAAGTATCTACTGGGAAGAAAATCTTCCCATCAAGTCTCTCGGATAAGGGTATGATATGCAAAGCATATGGAGAATTAACAGAAACATTAAGACCAAAAGCCAAAGATAAGGAGTCAAAAGAAGAACTGCAAACTAACCACCACGTTCAAGACAGTTCCAAATTACTAATAATCAGAGAAAAGAACATTGAAAAAAGTCTGAGGTTTTACCTCACACTTCGCAAGTTGGCAAAAATGACAAAAGATGGAAATAGTAAAAGTTGGAGGTACTATAAGAAGACAGGCACACTAACACACTGTTGATACAGCGGTCAATTGGTCTAATTCTTTTGGAAAGCAATTTAGAATTAAGAGGTAAGCTTAAAACTGACTAAAATGTTCAAAATAAAAAAAAATTTTAAATGTTCAAGTTCTCTGATTCAGAGATTCTACTATGAGGTACATGCTCCTGAAAGGCCAAATACAAAAGGATCTCATACACACCAAAATATTCAAAGCATTTTTTTTTGTAGTAGCAAAGAATAGGAAACAAAGTCGATGTCCATTGACTGGGGAATGGCTAAACAAAGTGTGGTACATGAATATAATGGAATATTTGCATTGAGGGGAGAGGCAAATATGAAGCATTTCAGAAAAACACGAAAAATCTCATATTGACTGGAGAATGAAGCAGAATCAAGAAAACAATATAGATGCTGACTATAATAATGTAAAAAACTAAGAACAACAAAATGAAACTAAAAACTGTGTAATAATATTGACCATACTTGGACCCAGAGAAGAGTTGAGAAAAGGCATCTTCCATCTTCCTTTGAAGAGGTAGGTAGGATGCTATAGGTGTGGCATATACACTAACAAATGTGGTTGATGTATTTGGAAATTCTTTGCTATAAGGGATGACATTTTGGATAAGGGATAGGGGGAAGATACATTCAGAAATGAAAATGATATAAAAACAAAGTATACCAATAAAAATGTTTTTTAGAAAATTGTCTGATTCTCACTAGCATTTTATTGACATGCAAAGCCAAATTAGCCAGGTCCTATATTTCCCCATTTCTGAAGGCACCAATTTGGTTTTAAAGAGTTGTTTAGAATGCCAGATGTTCATAACTTAAGGTTGGGGAGAGAAGCAAACATATAACCCTTGTGAAGTTTCCAAGTTACTTAAAACATGATATTCTATGTATGGAGTATGTCCTTAGGAACATATTTCCAAAAATCTTAGGGCTAAACTCCAAGTTTTCCAGAGAACTCAAAGCACAGTGACATCCTTGATCATGTCTGGATTTATCAGCACAAGATAGTCACACTGAATCTTTTTTTTTTCTCAGCCAAAGACAAGGTTTATTAAAGATCCACCATATAGGCCAGACTCTTAAGGAATCTGAGCACCTGTGAGCTATTGGCTAGATTATAAGAATCCCAGCATCTTAATGGAGACAAGATGTATCTTATATACAAAAAGATTATGGTTGGGATCTAGGAGTGGCCAAGTAGTCTATGAGGTAATAGAACTCCAGGGACCTGGACCATGTGGCCAAGGGAGAATGAAGCCCAGATACGATTAAGGGCACACTGAACTTACATATCAAAGAGGCATACCACATTTCAGAGTCCTCATTCCTTTTCCAATTAAGGCTAACATCTTGAGAATACAGGAGGTACAAGTTCTGGTAATAACTAGAGTTAAAAGAAGTCTAGAGTTGCACCTTACCACATTCAAAGGGATCTCTTTTAATTGTACCTGCTAAACACAGTGAGGACCCTGAGGCCTGAGTGCAAGTCTCAGTGGAGTCAGCATGTGGCCTTTTGAGTTCATGCATATAATGTCACCAAGAATGGTACCATCTGTGTCTGCTTGACTTTGAGTAACAGCCACATTTGAGGCATGCTATGAAGTCTTGGTGCCCAGAGAAAGCACAAGGTAGTGAATACCACTGCAGAGCTATCCCATACTAAGTTCTCCAGAACCTAAGAAATTTGCTAATCTACAACACAGCCCCAAAGAATGGTTGAGGCCCATCCAAAATGATATATTACCCACAGGGGAATTAGCTGGACTCCCTGGCAAGCAGAAGAAATGAAGAACCAGCCAAGAGAAGTCCTAGCATGGCCCATCTACCAACTGCAAGATGGTATGGAGACAGATGATGGTCTACGGAAAGGTTTCAAATAACAATTTGAATGATGAGGATGCTATAGATTGGTACCTTCTCAAGGGATAGAAAACCATGGGCCTTCTTACCACCTGTGCCTACGCTGAAATAGGAAAGAAGTGATGGATTCAGTGGCTGCCCATTTTCTACCTAATACTCCAGCTGTGAAAGCTCCAAGGAAGAGAAGCCACATATAGAGCCTGACTCATTAGGTGCCAGAGTTAGCAATGGGCAACTACAAACTGGTTGAGACATAGGAGTGGCTGGACTGGCCAGTGGTCTGGCTGATATATGATGTCCCATGGATAATGAGAAAGGAGGTTATCCATGTCTATCTGTAGTCAGACAATGATCATTCATGGAGTGTGTACATTGTATAGTTTGTATGTGACTTCAACATATGATATTATATACTACAATAACCTGATATGTAATGCTGTGGGATATATATTTCGTGACCTATTTGGCTTACTGTATACAACTTTGCTACACGTTTCTGCATGTAACCTATCTGTCTGGTGTAATGGATACAACACTGAAGTGGAGGTCATGACAATTACTTGTGACTGCTACCTGCCAATTAGCCAGCCTATGGAGAAATCTCAATGGACTGCAAAGTTGTTCTACGAATGTGTCACTCCATTTCCCACAAGGCTTGAAGCCAAGAGAGCATCTCCCAGAGGGTAGGCTGTCCAAGGGTCTAATGTGGTGACATCAGCAGGTAAGGCCTTATTGGCTGAATCATCATCACCCCCAAACAACAATGTTGAACCAAACTAAAGGATGGATTCAAACTAGGCCCATGACAACCTGCTTTCAATTTCATCCCAGCTAAAGCCAACTCTAAATGGGCAGCTTCAACTCTGCTTTTCAAATCCTCACTTGTACTCTCCAAAAAACTGTGAGATGCAGCCTCTCTCTCGGCCACAAGGTAAATGGAAGTTTCTTCGGCACCTTTCCTTCTGGCAGAAGATGGCAGCTCCCTTTTTCTTGCACACAAAGCAGGTCTGTAATTGAGACCCCAGACAGTGCTCACAGACCCAGAAAGAAGAAACCATAGCCCCCAGCACATTTTCGAGAAATGGCAGTGCCCTGATAAGTAGGGGTAGGGGGCCCCTAGGAAAGCTCGAGGGCTTGTCTGCTCCCTCCTCAATTGGGACCTCCAGCCCACCAGAGTCTGGAGCAGATGGGGAAGGCATTGTGCTCAACAGGCACTCAGAACCCAACAGGGGGAAAGGAAAGGGACAGAAAAGGGGGCAAGGGCCCTTATTTTCAGGGTTTCTAGCCTTCCTAGCAGCACGGCTTGTCTCCTTTTTGATGTCCTCGGGTAAGAATCCATGGAAGCCATCACTGGCCCGGCCCCGCTGGGGCAGCCCACTGGACAGGATCTGAAAGGCAGCAGAACAGAGAGACTGCAATCATCAATGAAGAGCAAGATACAAGGATAGAGTGGTAAGGTTTATTATTATTGTATATAAAGGTGTATAATAATGCATACACACACATATATCTCACTTAAAGGTTTATAAAGCACTGCCCTCAAAATAATCCTGTGAGAGGGCAGTACCAGTATGGGTATTATAAAACCCATTTCACAGATGAGAAACTGAGGCACAGAGAGGTCAGATAATTTGTTCAGTATCTCATAATTAATAAAATGTCACGTAGGACCCAAATTCAAGTCTTCTGATTCCAAGGCCAATAGACTTTCCACCACTGCTTAAACTGAGGAAGCAGGGAGGAAAAAACTAATATAATGGGATTGAGCATATGAAACAGGGTGAACAAAATGAGGAATAACACACAGAAGCCACTGGGAATTTACAGGAGGGAAGTGGATATACTCACAAGACAGAAATAATGGATACGGAGATTATCTCTTTGCAGAAACTCCCCTAACTTTTCAGGATCTCCTGGTTCTTGGAGGCACATTCGGCAAACTAGAAGAGATCAGGCAAGAAGAATTAGCCTAGAACACAAATGTGACTCGAGACAAGAGCTATAATTTTAGGACAAAGTAGGTGGGATTTTGCTCCATTTGGGGAGCACAAAAGTTAATACATGCATTTGTCCTTGATGGTTCATGTTTTTAACACATGTGCAATTTCTTTTAAAAAATGAAATGTGTTATTGATGCATTTTTTAAACACAATGACCACTTCTCCAATAATCTCCACAGTTTTGGACTTTAATGGCATAGGAAAGTACCAATAAAAAAAAATCTTCTAGTAATGCAGACAACAGCATTTTTATGTGGATTGAAGATCTGTAACTTATAGAGAATTGCCTGAGGAGATGAGTAACTTTCCTAGGGACATACAACTAGTATGTATCAAACGCAGAATCTGAACCTGGATCATCCTGACTTAGACATGAGCTCTCTATCCACTCATGCACACAGCTCTCCAAGCATATTACTTTTCCACTCCAGACCTGTGATTTCATTGGCATATATGGCACTCCAGGTGAAGAAATTCCCTCTACCTATGCAGAACAGCCAGTTTTGGGCAATTTCTGACAGCTGTTAGTCTTCCCTTACAACTTTTTTTGTGTGTGTGTGAGGCAGTTGGGGTTAAGTGACTTGCCCAGGGTCACACAGCTAATGAGTGTTATGTGTCTGGGGCCCGATTTGAACTCAGGACCTCCTGACTCCAGGGCCGGTGCTCTATCTACTACGCCACCTAGCTGCCCCCCTTACAATTTTTTTAAGCAGCTAAGCAATACCTGGCCCTGTGGGCACCCACTCCCCTCCACCCTAAAGTTAGGAGCACTACAATTATTCTCAATAGAAAGGCAATGTAACGACAATGCATTCTTTCTGCACAGAGAAACAACTTAGTTTTGTGCTTAATTAGCAAGAATAATTAAACTACGAAGTTGCCAAATGACTTCCTGCTGAATAACACTCGTGGTAAGACATTGTTTTAATACAAACCTGGGATTTCAATGGTGAGGAAATTCTTGTTACATTCTTCACCAACCTAACCTGACAACTCCTTAGCAATTTAAGAGTCTTTAGAGATCTGCCTGTTCATCCAGCGTCAGAGGCAGAGCTTGAACCCAGCCCTCTATCCATTCTACCACCCTGACTCTCCTGCCCAATAGGATTCTATTAGTTTGAGCACATGCCCTAAGAAATTTTAGAAGCATCTCTCACTTTTCCATGGTTTGTGGAAAAAATGGTTCACAACACAATAGAGGTATTGCTATACCTGGATTCTGTATGACCTTTGAAAAATGTTGGAAGAGTATGAGAAAAAACCTATCAAAGGTTAGACTGGCTGGAAGACATGTAATTATGTATGAATAAATGAATGAAAAAGCATTTATTAAGTCTATGTGCTAAATGCTACAGATACAAATATAAGCAAGTAAGACAATTGCTGCCCTTCAAGTAGTTTATGTTAGTTTTAAAAAAATTTTTTATTCTGGATTATTTTCATACACACTGAACACAAAAAGATGCTGTATGAAACCGTGAATTTCCATTTCACATTGCTTGCTTTTTAAAATAAGTATACAATAAATGCTACACATTTCTCCCAAAACTCTCCTATTTAACCTTCTGAACTTTCTTCTATTCTCTTCTGTGCATTTTAAAATATGTTGCTGTGGTTCTTTTTGGGGGGGAGGGGGGAGCAGTAGCACTACTGCTTTCTACCCCTCAATAGGGAGAAAGGAAAAAAAATCCTTGTAACAAATAAGCATAATCAAGCAAAATGAATCCATACAGTGGTCATGTCCAAAAATACGTGTCCTCGTCTTATATACATTACATCTCTCAGGAGATGGGTAACATGCATCATCATAAATCCTCTAGAGACATGGTTGGTCAATGCTTTGATTGGAGTTTGTAAACCTTTCAAAGTTGTTCAGTGTATACATTATTTCCTGGTTCTGATCACTTCACTCTGTATCAGTTTGTACTATTCAAGATTCTCTGAAAGCATCTCTTTTGTCATTTCTTATGAAACAATAACATTCCATTACATTCATAGACCACAATCTGTTCAGCTATTTCCCCGTTTGTCTAAGGCAGACAATCTAAGGCACCCCCTCAGATTCTAGTTTTTTTTTTCTCCTTTTAGGATCAGGAAGCTTGTTTTGCTTGTAATTATTCCCCAATATTATCCTCTCTTTTAATCAACTCCACCCCTCCATGCTTGTTTCCTTGCAGAGATATATTTTTACACCAAACTGTATGTATGTATATACGTTCAACCTTCCTTTGTCCCTTTCAGATAAGAATGAGGTTCATCTAAAACGTATCCCCCCCCCGACTCTTTCCTCCATATATGTGTAGTCTTCTTCTTATACAACCTAATTGTCAGTAACAGCAAATTCTACCCCCACTTCCTCCTTTTAACACTAGCTGAAACCCTGAAGTAGATGATGCTGGGCTGCCTGTCTCTGTTCAGGAAGTCATAATGGCTATAAATCTATCTTACATTCTAACTGAAGAAGACAATATATGAAGTTAGAGTTGCATAGGGTTGAATGTGAAAGGACAGGCTGGAGTCTAGGAAATGTCACGACACAGGTCTAGAGACCATGAGACCTCAGAACAAGTCTAGATAAGATGACATCATTCAGAGGTTACCTAGTTGGTCTGTATCTGTCAAGTGATGGGAAATATTCTTCAGTGCCTCTGTCAAGTGTTTGGGTCAAATAGTGTCTCAGCAGAGGGTGATTACAAATCTGAGAAAGTAGCTTCATCAGCCGGCCATATCTGAAGAATCTTTGAGAGTTAAGACTTATCTAGGAAAAGGTGGTTATTATCAGAACTTTTAAACTACTATGTTACCCTCTCAAAGCCTCTAAATGCTCTAACTTATAACTGGTTGATATTGAGAAGCACTATAACCAGAATGACAAAAGAAGCTTTCAGATTGCTGGGATGAGAATTGGAAGAAAAATCTGCTTAGAAGAGAAGTGGTAAACTTCATCAAAGAAATGGAATCCCTGAAGACTAGAATAGAACAAATGGAAATCAATGACTCCATGAGAGAACAAATTCAAAAGATTAAAAAAAAAAAAAGAAAATGTAATATATTTGGTATTAAAAAAATAAACAAACAAACCAACCAACCAACCCTGGAAAACAGGTCAAGGAGAGACAATTTAAGAATTGTTAGAATCTCTGAAAACCAGAATAAAAAATACAGTCTACAAAATTATATTTCAAAAAAATCATAAATGCAAACTATAGAGTTCTATTAGCACCTAAGGGCAAAGTACAACATAAATGAAAACTTTTAATCTATTAGAGCCAAGAGGTAAAGTTAGACTCCACTAATCATTTCCTGAAAGGGATCCCCAGGAATGTCATAGACAAAATCCAGAGCTCCCACAGAAAAGAAGAAATAAGTTTTAAAAAAATACGTAATCAGGCAGTTACATATGTACCATAATCTGTACAAATTTGGATTGGAGCGTAGGGGTTGGGGAAGCTAAGAGTTTATAGGCTGAGAGGCCTATCTGCTGGGCAGCAGAAATCCTAACAGCACAGAATCTGTTCTGACAAAAGCACTGGGTTGGTTGAGTGTAGTGCCATCTGATGGATAAATGATATAATACTCCTTACTGCAGCATCTCAATTACATGTAAAAACAAATTTTTTAACATTGTTTTTTAAATTTTGAGTCCCAAATTCTTCCCCTCCCTTCACTCTCCTCTCCTTGAGAAATCTTTTAGCTTTATATCATGTAGGCAATCCACACTGAAACCCCATAATTTATTAAAATAAAATGAAAAGTACAAAAAATTGTCAAGTTTCCCTCTTGTAAAATGCTTTACCATGTTTCCCTTCCTTTCTCCCACTGTAGATCACAGAAAAGACTTTAGTGTATTAGAAAAGGGGCTTACTTGTATTTGCATAAACCACCACTGGTACATGCATGAGGCAATAGATCAAGTCCTTAAAAGTCTATTCATGAAGGGCAGCTAGGTGGCACAGTGGATACAGTACTGGCCCTAGATTCACACCTGAGTTCAAATCTAGCCTCAGACATATAACTCTCACTAGCTGTGTGACCCTGGGCTAGTCACTTAATCCCATTGCCTAGCGCACCCCCCCCCAAAAAAAAAGTCTATTCATGACCCAGAGGCATAAGAATAAAGCTTAGTGGAGTCAGCCTACAGTCTCTCTAGCATTTGAATGCAGCATACCTTCTGGAGCTATTTCCCCAAATCCCACTCTAGTTTGCAGGCTAGGTCTCCCAAGGTGAATTACGACATTACTCTTAAGAGTCTGTCTCTGGTTCTTGGGTTTCTAGTAGTCACACAACTAATAATTTGAAGTACACCCGTGTGCTTAGTAAATACTCTTAGAAAATGGGTATTTATTAATTTAATTTAATAAGAACAATTGGTTCAAAAATATCTCCTCCCCAAAAAGCCTACGGCACACTCTACTCTCCCAGAGTTCAGAGGAAGATAGTTTAAAGGACAATGATATTAAGATACATGTGTAAAGAATATGTGTGGCCAAAGGGTAAATATATTTCCTTGTTACTGGAAGCCCTTTCTTGAGTTTATACAAACATTCTTTTCTGGTTCAAAGGATTCCATGCCTTCAGATTATGTTCTTCTTTGGATATCTTTCTAAATCTGATTCTGTTTGTGTTTGGTGTGCTTCTCTCTGATATAGGTTGGGTCTTTCTATGTCAATAGGGGAGGGGGAGTGTAACACTACCCACCCCTCACCCTCCATAGTCTCTGGTAGAGATATGAGGGTCTGACCTTTTTAAGGTGCTCTTGAGTCCGGAAGCTACCAATGCTGGACTGTGTTCTTCTGAACTGGCTTGCTGTATTATGCCTAAGCCCAGAGATGTGTCTGATTTCTGCCACATCACAAAATATTTCCTAATGTGTTATCTTCTTTCATTCAATGACCCAAGTACTTCACTCCTCCTAAAACAATTAAGGACTTGTTCTACCT